CCCGGGGTTAAGGGCTCATACTAGGGGCCCATAACTCCAACTTCAGAATGAGGATTTACTAAGCCCGAAACCCCTATGGACACTCGGAGCAACGGATTACTGGTTACGCAAAAGTGTGTACTCACTCCACCCGGCTGTCCTTCTTTGGGTTCTTGATGCCTTGATCTCCACAAAATCTTCAAAGAACCTCGACCCCCAAGCAATACCGTAAATCCATGAAAGTCTTGAACCAAATAAGAGTTTAGCCCAATGCAGCTGAATCCCAAACCCTGTGCTTTGAGCCTAAGCATCTAGCACCCAGCCAACTCGTAGGCAGCTGCCCTAGACCAAAAAGCGCTGCTAAAGCCTAGCAATAAGCATTAAGCCAAAAAGCCCTGCTAAACCCTAGCCCTAAATGCTATGATCCCAGGTCTCGCTGGGTCTGCAAAAGCTTCGATTCTAGGCAAGGCACAAAAACACTGAAGATGTTCATACGAAATGCGTCTAGCGGAGTCGGAAATTAGTGGTTTTTCCATGTTGTTTTTGATGAAAAAAGACCTAACATAAAACGGCATTCGGCATGAATGCTGTGGTGAGCGTATGCTCTCGGAACACGAACGGAATTATGGTTTGGGCATGGATTCTGCGGGGCCCCGGGACGGACAAAGTGGGAGGACCGCAAGCGAGGCATGCCATGGGACTACATTGAGCTGGAGCAGGCTGCGCGGAACCGCGAGGGTCGTGATTATTTGTCAAGAAGAATTGTAGAATTCTGTGCGTTTCGTGGCACATCTGACCATGCTCTATACTCGGCAAGACAGCTGGTCGGAAGGACAAAGATCAAATCAAGAAATGTTGCTAAAGCTAGCTATAATCCAGAATCCAACAAGCACTGCTAAACCCTAGCCATAAGCCTTGAACCAGAGCGCTGCTAAACCCTAGCCAGAATCCTGCGAACAAAAAGTAGCTAAACCCTAGCCATAAACATCAAAGCCAAAATTGCTGCCAAACCCCAGTCATGAACCTCGTACCGAAAAGAAATTAAACTCCAGCTTTAAAACTGAAACCGAAACCTTTCACCCGTAGTAGCCAGACTCGCCCAAACTAACCTGGAGCCACCCAAAAAGGGCGTAAAAAGATCATTTTCATTTGAAAGCAAGCCATGCGAGGTTCCATGCAGTTTGGGCATGTCCCAAATCGTAAACGCAGTACCAATCCTAAACCATGAACCCTGATTCACTGCTATCCCAGCGCAACCGAGGCTCCTTCCTGCAGCCAAATCAAAGCTTCCCCAAACAAGCAATGCATATAGCAAAGCACAAATCGCAGCGCTCACATCCTGCCCGATATGAGTGCAGCTACTGTCAAAAGGCCACACTGCCAACAGCACTGCCTGTAACCTCGCAGCAAAGGATGACATGCTGTCTCTGTAGAAAGCATCACGCACGACCTCTGCCAGCAAGCCATGCGGTCAGAAGTGTTTCCGATTTCTGCTAGAAATGCGGAGGTGACTTGATTGGATGAGCCCCAGCTCTCACGCCTGTTGACACATTGACGAGAAGATGTCTTCTCTATTCGTGACGGTAAGTCATGATACTCAAGATTATTATAACAGCGCCTCGCTCACCACAAAGCAAAGGAGAAAAAGGGACCGTAGAAGATCACACATGTACAGTTCCCTTCCCATTGACAAACATGGAAGTTCGACATGCTTCGCGCCATTGAAAAGTCTTGCCTGCCTCGCTGTACACAAGGCTACTTTAGCTTGCTCTCAAACCATGAGTATGCAAAAGGACTTCACACCAGCGAACGACTCTCGACGTGCTTCGCTGCTTCAACACCCGACATCATAGCATGCAAAGCCTGTTCTGTTCAAGCACATCTTGCCACAGGGACATGAAAAGCTCCTGCAGCTTAAATGTTGTGAAATCTGTACGTGAGGAACACATGGACGTGGGCTCAGACTCAGCGACTACATCTCATTCAACCGACGCTTGGCGTCAAAAGACTTGACTTGATGATCGCACAACAGCAGTTTGAAAAATGAATCATATGCTCAGGGGTCCCAGCCAGCGGAAACAGAAATGGAGTGGTGGCACCCATATTGAGGAAAATCTGCCAGGCGATCGTGGCTTCCTCTCATGACTCACTTAATCCGCGGGCCGAGACTGAAACAAAAACAGTACAGTGAACTTGGCTGACAGCTCTCCTGCGGCAGCGGCTCCCAGAGATGGACGTAGACACCTGCGGCACTATGCTGTGGGATCTTGGGCATAGGGATGCAAACTCAAGAGGTTGTTTGCTGTTTGCCCGTCGGTCACACCACCTTCCTTGCAGACAGTGCACCCTTGCTTGCATCCTGCAGCTCTTGCAGAGAATCCTCATGATGAACTGAGCATTCTTCCTCAAGATGAAACAAAACTGGATCCTTGAGCTTATAACCAACATGAGTACTGCAAGAATCTTCTGAATTGGCCGGGCTCCGCAGGCCTGAGGCGGTCCAAGCTGCTCCACCAAGCAGGTTCAGCGCGTAGGAATTGAAGAGCGCCTAGCATGATGCCATGATGCAAGGCAAATGAAGCCATAGAGCTCACTATCTTGGTACTCCGATGACAAATAGACTATGAAAATGACTGAGGTCTTTCTGGCGATTCAGTCGTTTCAAGACCGTTGCCGGCTCATCCTTCAAAAACATGCTAACTAGTCACCACAAGATTACCACAAGACCGTCAGATAAGAGTCAAGATCCTAGAGCCGTTCGGGAAGCAAGTATCGAATTCATGTGTGCATACAAATATGAATGTGTGTGTGTATATATATGTATGTCTGACTTCATCTCAGCCCGCGCGTCCGATTTGGCAAAGCATGCTTTCTGCTTACTAGGAGCATGCTTCTTCACCACCTTTGACCGCGAACGGAGCCAAATGATGAAACATGCAGAGAGCCTCATGCGGATTCACTTGCAGCTCCGTGTTTCTGTTACGATGAAAATTCTTGAGGCCAAATGCAATATTGCAGCAAGTAGCTCCGAACACAGCAGGAGATCAGTCAGAGCGTTTGTTGGTCGTGCTCCATTGCCAAGGGAAGGCATCATGTCTGGCAGTGGTCAAGCCACACTTTTGGCCATGCATGGCACTACCGCATCTTGAAATCTGCGGGCAAATAGCTGCTACAATGACTACAATCATCAAGCTTTTAAAATCGGAAGACCATGGCTGCCGAGCCAAAGCATCGAAGCCCTCACGCATGTTCCACAGTTTTTGTTGTTTGATGGGCGCTCTGCATCCGATCTGCATCAGAGCTTCTGGGGGTGCAGCTGGCCGACGCACAGCTCCTGGACGGAAGTGATGGCAACAAGCCTACATGAACTCCTGTCCCACATCCCGGCCGGGACCTGCACGGCCTCAGCAAATAATTGAAACCCTCGAACCAGAGCGAAGGCCATACCTTGTTGCCTGCCTGTCAATGATAACACCCTGTCAAAGCCTGAGTTGATGGCAACATGACGTGGTAGCCGACGACACAGCCGCAGACGCAAAGCACATCCTGCACAAGAATGTGCTGATGCTGCTGAAACTACCGAAAGCCAGCCCTACATGCATGTCATCCTTCCTCTACATCCAAAATGTGGCAACACCCGTGCGGACGGATTAACTCTGCCACATTGCCTTCCCATATGAAACTAGACTCTTGCATGATACGTTCTGCATTCTTCTCAAATATTTGACTTGATCAAGCTGTGAAGCGCATCTGCATGTTGTTTCAACAACACAAGCAAGACTCCGAGCAACCTGTATGTGCCACAATCAGCAGTCCCGCACGCGGCAGCGGCATGAGCCATGGAGTCTTTCTTTTGCAGCCTGACCGGATACTTGGACTTGGAGTCTCACCAGCGTCTGGTCGTAATCAAATTGTTTGCTTGCCTCCGTCACCTGCATAGGCCGGAAATCTGTGGAAAAAAGGGAAATTCGCTCGTCACATACGAGACGAACACCTGCCACATCGGCAACGCATAACTAGCAATACCAGGTGGACAACATGTGCGTTTGCTGGGCCTGTTTGACAAGCCTGAACACATACTGAGTTGCACACGCATACCTCTCCGACAAAGCATGCGACCACATCGATGACATGTTAATTCGAGAACCTTCTCCTCCTACAAGTTTTACACAAGGTTCTCAGGTTGAACATCCTCGTTGCAGTTGTCAGTCCTCTGGCAAGGCCTCATCATCTGTGAGGCATTCCTCTTCGGCTGCTTCAGCGCCTTCGTCAAGTACGTCACCTTGAGCTTCATTAACCTGCGGGCAGAAAGCGGATGCCTAAACTGTTGTGGCACACATTGCCGCACATGCACGATACAGGTTGCAGTGTCAGAACCTGCGCCGATGGTGGGTCTTGGCCAGCTTCCACATCCTGACCGCATGTCCGCTGGAAATGGGAATGTGGATATGCAATGATAACAAAAATGCCTCCATTTGGATTTGGCCTGGCAACCAGAACAAATTTGGGTACGAAACGGACAAAAAAATGAAACGTTGGCCTGGCCACCAGAAACAATTCACAAAGCATACACCGTGCTGAACAACTTGCAGTCCAAACACAAGCTAAGGCTGAAACAGCCAAACTCCGCCGTCTTGCATCAGCTGCATTGAACCCACAAACGTCAACACCAACACAAACAACCAACAACCCGCTGCATTCTCTTGACATCTTGCCACAAGATTCCTCACCAAATACGACAACAGTTGTTACCCCCGCTGTCTACTTCAAGACCACTGCAACATCTACACACAATCTGGTCAACATTTCGAAGACCGCATGAACAACCTGACATGTTCCTGGTGGCGGCGCCCATTTGGGCCCGTGCATCTGAACCCACAATAACATCAACAACAAGACTCCTGGAAAAGATTCGTGATTATTGGCACAGGCAAAATTCACCAAAGCAGAACATCAAAAGCGCTAATCCACAGGCCGAACAAATTTATTACACCGAGCATGACGGCGCTCCCACAAAAGCATGACTTTAAACAACTGTAAATCACACCTTGAAACACCCAGGAAATTCAGAAAACAGCATCATTCATATTCCTTACGGTTCAATCAGGAATCGTTTCAAGGATTTGCATTACAAATTTTCACATGCATTCATGTTGGAACTACATGTACTGACATGAACTGCTGCACACACATTTCACAACCAATAGTGAATATGTGAAAATCGGCCTCACAGGTTTTGCAGACGGGCACAGTTGCTCAGTAGGTTTGTGGGCATTGTTGCTGGTATATTGCTCTTGGCGCCTTCAAAAGTCTGGCGTCTGTCAGCCCTTCGCCTTGGTTTCAGGCGTTCACGTGAATCTTGGCCGAACCGAAGCTGATGACGATCTTCGAATTGCAAACTCGTCATGTTTTGTCGCCTCTGTTCTGCGTGACTCTTGCACGAGAGCGCAAAAGTACTGCGCTTGCCATCATTCTGAAGCCTTTAGGCTGTTGACGCCTTGCTATATTTTTGCCTGCTGTGCACTGGATGGCTACACCTGAAACCTTTTTTGTATGTTTCCCTTTTTGCGTGTTTAATTGTAGTCTGTGTATGGATTTTATGCGTTGTTGATCTTCTGTGCGGGTGTGTCGGGGCTGGAGGGGGTGGATAATCCGGCATGGCCGTCATGGTCCAGTGCGGATGCACGCCTAGCTAATGGGGTGCCGCCACTGCCTCCGACCCCCTCCCCTGGAGGCCCTGGTGGAGTATGATGAAGATGATTTTTGGACGCGTTTTTGGAGTTTCCCCACGGTAGGGCACGTTTTTTTGGGCAAGCATCATCAGCACAATTGGGCCTTCGTTTCTCACTTTTAGCCACCTCAACATAATCAGGGTTTTGGAGTGGTCTTGGAGCCTCATATATGTGGTGTCAAGAAGGAAATCGGGGGCCCAAACAGGCCCCATGATGCTCATGATGCTGGCTCTTGGGGGGCTGCAGGCCGCTTAAAATGCCCTATAAACGCCTAAAAAACGTTCGAAATACACACTGCGGGCAATGTTTGTGGCTGTAAATCCCAGTGAAATGCAACTATGGGCTACAACATGGTCAGCCTGCACAAAGAACCATGTCTAAAGTCATTTTTGATGGTTTACTTGGGTTTTTGACTCCTCCAGGTC